GTGGCAGGCTACCGAATGTAACCTGCCCACACGGCAGAGTCTGGCAAACTCCCTGTGGTGTACCCAATATGCCAAATACCAGTAACAATGATGGGTCTCATTCTCCTAATCCTGAAAGAGCCTTGAATATGGCACTTTTGAAAATCTCAGGGCTAGGGTGAAGGAGACGTTACTGGTGCCTGCTCGAGGCAATCGACGAACAACAGGATGATGATCGTGATAATGATACATTTTTTGTAGTAAAATAATTTGCTTGGAAAATATGCTTAGAGAAATGAGAGGAGGAAGAAAGAGAGAGGAGTATGTATTCATGAGAGAACACAGGTTTCTTCTTCAGAGCAGAAAAAAACCCTGCACACATACATTTTTAACAAAAGTGGGGTCCTACTATATATTCTATTTATAGGTATCATTATATTTTATTACAAAGGTAATAAAATAGAAAAATCAGGAAAAGAAGGGAAATTATCCATAATCCTTGACCGCCTAATATAAAACCTAATAATATTTTATTGCTTTCCTATGTCTAAAAATTTACATATTGGGCCAGAGATAGAGTACAGTGGTTGAGACCCTTGCCTTTCACATAGCAGACCCAGGTTCCATCCCTGGCACCACACGTGGTCCCCAAGCACGAGAGTCAGGAGTAAGCCCTGAGCACAGCCGATGTAGCTCCAAAACAAAATGAAAAAAAAAATATATATATATATATGGGGGGGGGGCTTCCAAGCAGTGATCAAGGGATGCAGGAATCACCTGGTAATTTTTGGCCAACCATGAGGATGGCTCCATTCTAGGACCCAAGGTTATGGTGCTTCTTAGACTCTGCACTGCACTGCTAGAGATCACTGGGCCAACAAGGCCAGTGCTGTAGGGGCCTTTAAGGCTGAATCCAGTGATTCTGAAGAAATAAATAGTGCTGGGGATCAAACCAAGGTTGGGCACATGCAAGGCATTGCACATTAACCCCGTACTATTAGTGTTCCAATCTCTGCATACATACATTTAATACAAGTAGGACTTCACTAATTATATACTTTTTAAATGATGAATCAATTTTAATTGTAAGAAAATAATATAAGCATAATGCAGAAAAATAATAAAAAGAAAAGAAAATATTACTCCTGATCGCACTATTCAATTATAATCACTGTTAACATTTTAGTGTCATTACTTCCAATATAGTTTCTATGAACATTGAACATATAATTTTTACACAAGTGGGACCATGCTGTTTATGCAGTCTATTAACTATGAACTTATGTTAATTATAAGAATAATATGATCATACTGCATAAAGAGAGAAAAGTTACTTATAATGCTACCACCCTACTAACACTGTTACAGGTTCTGTGTTTTTCAGACCTTCATTACCCATATTCAAACATGGTTGAAAACATAGCATTTAATTTTCTATTCTTTGTGTTCTTTGCAACTTGGCATCATATTTAGGCTGCAACTTTTTACCCAGCATGGGTTTTTTTTTTTTTTTGGTGGGGCGGTCATGCCCAATGATGCTGAGAAGTTACTCATATCTCTGAACTCAGGAATTATTCCTGGCAGTGCTTCGGGGACCATATAGGATAATGGGGATAAAACCCGGGCCAGTCACGTGCAAGGCAATGCCATACCCACTGTGCTATTGCTCTGGCCTTCACTAGTATTTCTTAACGTAATATTTTACCATAGTAATGTTTGGAAATCAAGGCTTTTGTTTTCATATCTGGGTGCTAAGGAACATTCCCTTCTCATGAACATTTTAAATTGCTTTACAGTTTTCACTATAGTAAGCAACTGGGCTCTAAACATCATTTGAGCAAAGACATGAAGTTTTAAACTTTCCTATATACATACTGAGTATGGTTCTGTAACCGACTCTAACTTTACAGGCTGCCCTGTAAAAAGTGATTATTTTCTATTCGTTCCTAATTTGCTGCTGTTCTAATGCTTACATGGTCCTTAATTCTGGAAGGTAGCTTTTGGAGAATAAAATAGCATTTTCTTCTCCTTATCCTTCCTGGGTTTATAAACCTTCTTCATTTCCTCAGCTTTTTCCAAAACAAAAGGGTATGCCCAAGGGATTCTCAGCTCAGTGTGTGCCTGACTGTTCTGAATTCCCTGAGATGGGCTGGGGGCATGCAGGGGTGCAGGGACTAGAACCAAGGGTCTGGCATATGCCAAACATAGGCTCTATCATGTGAGCTATCTTCCCAATTTCTAACGCATGTGTTTTTGAACAGGAAGGGCGAGGGGGCAGAGGAAAACAATGAGAATGCTCACTCTATAGCATTTACTGACCATTAATGACACAGAAAGCATCAGTCAGTTTCCTTGTTTTCTTGCAACAACCTCAGAGTTGGAACCACTATTATTGCCATTTAACAGATGGGAAAACCAAGGCCTAAAGAAAAAAAAAATCATGTGGCCTAAGAACACATACAGTAAATCCCAAAGGAAAAATTTAAAACCTGGAGGATAACCCCTGGGCATGAATTCTGGATCACAGACTCTATGGCCTTCCTAGCCTCCAAGGTAGAAGGCAGAGGGGAGCGCCATTGTAAGGATAAGATTGTCAGCCTGACCAGGATTCTAAAACCGGGTCTCCCAGCTATGCCAAGTTGGGCAAATCTCCAGGACTCCTTTCACCTTTGGTAAACTCTACCTCATAAGACTGTCATGGAAATTAAAAGAGATGATGAATGGGACCATGTCAGGCCAGTGCTGGCACACAGAAGACACTTACTGGGGACACCATTCCTGTCCTTTCTTGCTGCCCAAGCGTGTGATCTAGTTGACAAGTTGAAGATAAGAGTTCAGTGGAGAGCCCTGAGCTCTGCGGGAGTGACGGGGAAGTCAGTGATCCAGGACATATTTGCAGAGAAATGCAAATGTCTCCTTTGCTCTCTCGCAACCTCTGCAACTCACCTCCTATCCCACCTCCCTCCAAAAGAAAGGGATGAGTTTTGTACGACAAAGCTGAGCGCTTGAAGGTCCTCTCTTTCCTGTCATCCCCAGGAGGTGGACAAGAAGAGATGATAGGAAGACTCCAGTGGGGAGACCCGTTCTAGAACGTGAGCATAACGAAATGTGGCGGCGGAGGGCGCTCCTTTTTCTGCCCTTCAAAGATCCGGATGGGGGAGGAGACTGGCTGTTGAGCAACTGCTTCGGAGACACTCCAGAAACCCAGATGAACATATGCCTCTTTCTAACAATTGACCTGGGAACCATCCAATAGATGGAGGGCGGATTCACCACCTCTTGGATCTGGAGCCTGCAGCGTTGCCACTGCCGCGGTTTCCCAAACAGCTCCAAAGAACAGAGAGGGTGGGGGTGGGGTGAAGGGCGGATAGTTAAGGGGGATGGTAGATGGAGATCTAATTAGCAATGCACAGTTTGAAAGCCCAAGGCAGCTCACCTCACGCAACCAAGGGAACTTGAGGGTATATTTCCAAGCCTTGTAAGGCTTTGGGACTGCGACAGATTCTGCCTTTTATTAGTGGAAATCAGGAGGGACCCATGATCCTTGAGCAAAATGAGAAAAGTGTACAAATGGTGTAGGATGTGTTTGTGTTACTCCATGATGTGTGGTATGTGATTGTTACTGGCCTTTGTGATGAGGCAAGGTGAGGGAAAGGAATGGAGATGTGCAAAGAAGCTCTGAGCGCTAGGAATGGGTTAGCCTGGAGTCCAGAGCCTTGGCCCCAGAATCATCCAGTTTCTAGGCCTTGATCATCCCTCTGTTCTCGATCTTTCTGTCAGTTTGCTAGTTAGTCCCTCAACAAACAGAACTTTGTTCGAGGAGCAAATGTAGGGTACTTGAGGATACTTAAAAGCAAAAGGTAAAAAAAGAAACAGGCAAAAGAAAAAAGACCTTTGGCTCTTCAATTCAATTAAGATAACACATGAAAATGACTTCATGACCACCCCCCCAACCTTCTTTTTTAACATGTCTCTTCTAAAAGAGAATGCTTTATAAAGAGTGTTTATGAAGTGAGTTGTTGCTGGGGGGGGGGGGGGGTACGTGGTCTAAAAAGGGAGGTTAATGGAGAGGTAATATTGAAAATATCCCTGTAAAGGGCTTGCTGGCCACAAGAAACACTGAGTTGAATAAGAAAGAAAGAAAGAAAGAAAGAAAGAAAGAAAGAAAGAAAGAAAGAAAGAAAGAAAGAAAGGGGGAAAAAAGAAACACTGAGTTGGAGAAGATGAGGGCCTCTTTCCAGTAACTTGTAAGCTAATATTGGCTCGAAAAAGATGTGCTCCATATGCAAAACATTATTATTGCTAGATGGGAATGATTACACAATCATAATAAAATAACCTGGCATGGTAGAAAGGCAAGAGTAATCCCCAGAAGCACCGGGGCAAGTTCTTCGAACCCAGCTGCCTGTTCCTGGCTTTTCAGCAACCCTAGTGAATTGCACCTGGAGTGCAACAATTCATGTCGCATCCCTCCAGCCTTCTTCTGCCCTGGATGACGACAAGAGAACCCCGCCATCCCTCCCAGCACCCCCAGCTCAGGCCTTCCAGCGAAACCATCACTGATTGATGGGTTCTGTCCTGACGCTGGCAACTTGAAGGGAAAATAGGAAGCTCAGCCTCAGTCGAGGGAGATGCTGCAAACTCAAGAGAGCAGACAAGCTTGGAGGAAGCCCTGCAAAACCAAAAAAATAAACAACGAAATCGATCATACCCCCAAGGGATCCGACCCATAAGCATCCCCCTCCAGGAGCGTAGTTCCCTGAGGCCTTAACTCTGTCTCCTACACCTGAAGTCCCCTCTGACCATCTGCTAGATTTAGGTCAGAAAACAGACACTAACAGTTATTCCTTCCTTAGCGAAATTACTAAGTGAAATTTATTGGGCAAGTCCATGCAGGTCGGTGGGGAGAGACCGTGTCTGGGACCCCAGCCTTCCTCCCCCTTCCCCGCGCCCCCAGCATTAAAAGCGCGGCGCGGCCAGTGCTCAGGGGTCGGGGTGCCCATGGCCTTGCCTCGCTTGCCCTAAGCCTAGGAGCCGCAGCCCATCTCTGACACCGAGGGGCCCGCGGGGCCACTCGGACTCCGTTCCCCAGCCGGCCCTTTGCTTTCACACGATCCGCGGTGACTGCACCAGCTTGAGCGTCTTTAAAGGGCCACACACGCCAGTCACCGCTATAAAATGTTCCCAGCGGCACAGCTGCAGAAGGGGCACCACTGAGCCGCCAAGAGGAGGCTTAGTCTGCCCGGCCGCCCGCCCGCCCGCCCGCCCGCAGTCAACCGGCGAGGAGAAAGAGGGCCAAGGAAGGCACGGCACCAGCTCTGGCCCTCGGTGAGCATCCAGTTCACATTTTGCCATCAACTCGCCTACGATCCAGGACATGTGCTAATAATGCCCTAAGCTGGTTATAAAGACGTGGAAATTGGGGAGGGGGGGCGAGGGGGAGTGGAGGGGTGAGGGTCTGTCCTTCTTGGGCTTTCTAGCCTAAAAGAGCCCTCTACCGTGTGCATGTGCGTCAGGACCTCCTGGCGACAATGAGGGCTTAAGAGCCGTATCCCCCGCGCTGAGAAGGGAGCGCTGTGGCCGCCAAGCTGCACCTCCCCGGAGTCAGGCGCTGAAGCTGCGGGCAGGCGGCACCGGCACCGGCCCGGACTGCCTGACTCTGTACCGTGTGGTGCGGTGCGGCGGCGGCGGCGGCGGCGGCGCAGCTGTGCGGGCTTTTCCCAGACGCCCCGGGGTCGGGTGGCACTGAGAGTAATAGGCTCCAGTCAACTGCGTGCGTGCCAGGGGCCAGGGCTCCACCACTTGGTTCGCGGCTCTCGGGGCTTGGAGCTTCTCTCTCTGGGGCAGGCGGTCGGGGAGGTAAGTCGGGCGGCCCGACCGGGCTTTGGGCTGGGCGGCGGCCCGGGGGGACTCTGGGGTACTTGCTTTCTGTTCGAAAGCTGCCCCGCTGGAAAACGGAGGGGCCACGGCTCGCCTTGCTACCAGCGATCCGGATAGCTCATCAGGGCGTTCGCGAGCCGGCCGAGCCGGCCGGGCTCCCGCTTCTCCCGGGGAGACGGTGGTAGCACCTTCTCTGCCCGCGCCCGCGCTTTCTCCGGCTTGGCTTCTATGGACTTTGCTAATGGCCTGGACCGCATCTGGCTCTGCTCTGGGGGGTTGCACAAAGCTCGGGTTTCCTTCGGCGACTGGAAATGAGCGGAGCTTTTCGGCCGAGTTGGGCAGAAATGCGGGCTGGAAGTTAGCGAATATGGGCAAGTTGCCTTTACTATCCAATCGACCTCGGCTCCCCCTCCGCACGCACGCCCACACGCACGCACACACCCACGCACACACCCCTCTCCCTATAAATACAGGCGACGCGGCCAGGCGGCGCACTGAGTTCCCAGCTTCGAGGAGCGCCGGACTTGGGAGGCAGGCAGACGCGGCTGAGAATCCAGATCCGGCACTTTCTAGCGCGGTGACCTTGGGCAAGTTACAGAACCTCTCCGAACCGAACCTCTGTCTCTCTTTCGTGGCGGGGTGTTAGGACTGACCACCGGCTGCGTGGCTTTCTAGGCTTTCTGGGAAAGAGCCCGCGGCCGCGTCGGTGCTCCGAGGACGCTCGGAGTTGGGAGGCGCGGGAGCGGCGGCGGGCAGCCTGGGGGCCGCAGCCCCCGAGCACGGAAACCCCTCCGGCCGCAAACTCGCGGCGGAGGCCTAGACCCCGCGTCTCCGGCCCCCAAATCTTTCTGGTCGGTTCGCGAGCGAACTGACCGTTCAGGCCCTGAAGGTCTGTGGCTTCCCGCGCACTGCGCAGGGATGCACCGGGCCACCCCCAGCTCCGGCGGCTCCACCTGGGATGCGGCGGGGAGGGTAGCGGGGCAGTCGGCAAACGACGGGGATTTGATTTTCAGGTGGCGAAACCGACTAGCCTGGCTAGAGCGCGTTCTAGCCAAGCCGCGGCAGCGTTTGGATTTTTTTTTTCCACATTTCTCCTTCTGAGTGAGAAAATAGCAATCCAGATGGAGCTATCCGGTTGGTGCCATCTTAACTTTTGGTCCCTCAACAGGTCAAAGACGCTCCCCTCCCCACCTGCCTCTCCCCTTTTCCTTCTTCCTCTCCTTCGTCACCCCCTGGAGGAGGGAGGGGGCTCCTGTCCCCGAACAGCAGACCCGGAGCGGATGGCCCGAACCGCGAGGCACCAGCGGGCGGGCGAGGAGGAGGCACTTGTTGCAGCAGGGCTGCCCAGCCGCCTTGCAGCTTGAATTGTTGAATGGGTGATTTCCGCGCTGCCAAGTTTTGCCTTCGAATGGGCTTGATGGCCCCGGGGCGAGGGTGCGGGAAGAGAGGGGCAGAGAAATCTGCGTAGCAAAGGCTGCGATTCCGGTCGGAAAGCGATTGCGTCTTGAGACGGATCTCACAAGCGCCGAACGAGCATTGACTCGGGGTGTGGGGGGGAGGGGTCTGGGTGAGTGGTGGGGAGGCAGATGAGAGCTGAAGGGAAGCTGGGTGCTGCCCGGGAGCTCCCAGTATGATGGGGAAGACGTGGTAAAAATCATCTCCCCTCAAAAACATATCGGAACCGAGATACTGATACTTTTTGTCTCCTGTTCTCTCCTTTTATTCTATCTCCTCTTCATCCCGCTTCTCTCTGCGTCTTTTTGCGAAATCTGTTTTGGTTTTCTTTTTTCTTTTCTTTTCGCGTGTTTTTCTTTTTTCGTTCGGATTGCAGGCGGCATAAAGGCGAAGGAAAGCTGGATAAAAGCGGAAAGAGATGGCAGCGCCCCCCCTTTTTCCCCTTAGGACATGAAAATGACCTGGTACGGGGTGGCAGGGGGGGGTGCTTGAACTTCTTTAAAAGACCACACGGATTGAACGCCTTAGCTTGTGATCATTGCCCTGATAAATTCTCAGATTCCCTAAACCAAGGAACGGGGCTCAGATTAAGCAGGAGGGTTGCAATGCCGGCAACTGATTTTTTCCCCGTTTTTTCTCTTTCCTCCCTTACCACCATGTGAGTGGTGCAAAGACATAAAAAGAGGTAGTAATTGGCCACTTTTCTAGAAGTGTCTGAGCAGATTCTTAATGACCACTTGTAGGAAGGGAGGCTGGGACGCAGGTGGCGTCATGGAGAATTCTAGCCTTGTTAGAAAGATTAGAGACTTTTTTTTGGTGGGAGATAGAACCCAGGGCCTCACAGATCAAAAACTGCTTTACCAGTGTGCTGCATCCCTGATCCCAGAGACTCTTGGTAAAGCCTGGAGATTCTTGGAGCCAGAGCTATTTAGAAATACAAAGTGCTACAGCTTTAATTCATCCTACAGAGATTGACAAACTTCCAGGAAAATTACTTGAGTTTTCAGAGATTTCTTGGTTTGCAGAATTTTTTTAAACTCTTTTCCCACTTCCAGCTCTTTAGCTGGATGATGGTGACCCACTTTGGCAAGGTGCTTCTTACTTGGACATTCCTGATTTCAGGATCAGAGGCAGTGCTACCCCCTTCCCCATACAGGGGCTTTGAAATCAATTGCATGAGGAAATAGTCGCATTGGTGGTGGGGGTAGCAGGATGTCCTGGCAGTATCTAGCTGAATCTAGCATCTTCCCTGCCTCTGGCCAAAGTTTCCAAGCCTTACTCTGCTTGGTTGGTTACTGGTATCTCAACTAGTGCTGTCAGCATCCTTGCCTTTTAGTTACACAAAAAAGCCTTGCTCTGAACCTGGCCTGAGCTTTCTTAATCAGTGAAGCCTCTGGCCCCATATTTGCTCTTCTTTTGAACGTACAGGTCAACAGTTCCAGCTGTTTACCCAACTTCTGCCAAGGCTCTGAAATGCCAGCTATGTCAAGACCTGCACATGATGTCAAAGGTAGCTCCCCAACCACAAAGGAGGTAACTTTAGCTCTTTTACATATGGATACCCTGAGGCATGACAAGGTGAACTCACCTGGGGTCATGGTATAGTTCTTCCCAGGTGTAGGATCTAGTACCTTTTGACAGACAGGCAGCCTCAGGGTTTTACTTGCGGAGAATGAGCAGAGCTCTCCAAGCACCTTCCAGGGGTGTTGAAAGATGCCAAGCAAGGAAACAAAGAAGGAGAATGGAATGGGACCATACCATTGAAAAGGTTAGGCTGAGTCTCAGAAGAGGTACTATGGGATGCTGTCTTTAAGAATGGCAAGGTGGAGAGGCTCGGGATGAAGGTGAAAGCTACAAAGTAACTTAGGATGGCAGGCATTCTGCATGGTTATTCATGTATGAGCTCAGTGCTTAAAGGCATGGTAGCCAAAGCACCCTTGAGCTGGAAGCCTAACTTCCCAGGGGCCTCTTGCTACCTTCTCATCACTTCCCCAAATAAAGTACAGTATAGGCACTATCTGGAGCTCAACGAATGAATAGCCAGGAGGTACGGTTACTGAAATCTCTGCCTTTCTCTGTCTTCCAGGAGGCCAACTGTGAGAAGAATCCTCTGACCTACCCTAACTTGGGGACGAAGGATCGCAAGGCAGTGACCATCCTGCACTACCCGGGGATAGTCACAAGTGGAGCCAAGTCCAGTGGGGGCCTTGCCATCTCCTCTGGCCCTCCATCTCCGATACTGATAGACTCTACTGCCACCGGCTTTCCTAATAAGCCCCAACCCTTTAATCTGCTTGCTTCCCCCCACCTGTTGGCCAGTATGCAGTTGCAGAAACTTAATAACCACTATCATGGGGTGACTGTTGTCACCCCGGGTGAGCCTGAGGAGGAAGATCCCCTGTGGCCTATTGGGGATCTGGCTGAAGGGGCAGAGTCACCCCCTCCTACTGATGCCCAGAACCCTGTCATTGATTCAGACCCAGTAGATGAGGAGGTGCTGATGTCATTGGTGGTGGAACTGGGTCTTGACCAAGCCAATGAGCTTCCTGAGCTGTGGCTGGGCCAGAATGAGTTTGATTTTACCGCAGATTTCCCATCATGCTGCTAATGGCCAAATGCCCCTAACGGTGGAAGAATGAAACCACCTATACTGATGTAAATAAAAATAAAAGTTACTTGCAAAGTGATGGGCCAAGTAGTGGTGTTCTTCCTTGCGGTGGAAAGGTGCTTGATGTGTGCTGACATCCTTTCAGCTACTAATGATATGGTGGATTCATGGGGGATTTATAGCTGGGAAGGAGATGGATGGGATGGGAGGGAAGCTTAGAGATAGAGACAGTGGAGAACCTGAATTCTGGCGGCCGCTGTCATTGTTAATGACTGCTCAGAAGTCCAAGTTTGAGGATGGGGGGGGGACATTGGTGGAGGGTGTGATGTTGGAACATTGCATGTTTAATTTTTTAAAACAAAGTTAATAAAATTAATATAATAATAGAAGCCCTACTTTCTGTGGCATCCAAACCATTTATACGGCAGAATCTTAAAGGGTTCCTCCTACTCTTCAGCCCCAAGCCAATTGGCCCAGTAAGGCTGCTTCTCTGCCTGTTTGTGTGTGGGCAATAGGTGGGGCCTGAGGGGGTCTGATGTAGGAGCTCAAATTTTCCTGGAAAATCAAAAAAGCTACAGATTTCCCACATTGAACCTGGGTTCAAGGTACGTTCAAGGTTTTCAGAGTTGCAATCCCCAAGTTTGGAACACTCTGAGCTAGTATATGTATCTCTTGCTGCCTCTCTGGCTTATATGGGAATAGCCTATGTGTTCATTACAGAAATGCAGGTGAGCCCTGGGTCTGACAAGCTGTGTGTTTGCCAATGTAGCCCTTGTGCTTAAATTAACTGCAAAGCAGGCAGTAGCTTCAGAGGCACATCAAATGGCAAGATGCTAGCACTGAGCTACATCCTGGCCTTAAGGATGGGGTTGCCAAGCCAGCGCAAGGATCTGGAGACTTGTAGAGTCATCTACCCACATTTCAAACTCAGAGTTTCTTCCTTGGACTCTGGAAATGACTATAATTGGCTTCTTAGGACTAGCTGACATCAGATCTGCCCTATAGTAAGCCCTTTGAAAAAAGCCTCTGTCTGGCAGGGGTCCCTGTGGATGACTTAGTGGGGTAGAGCAGTAGTTTTTACATATGATCCCCAATCACTGTCAGGACTAGGGGCTCTGAGCACTACAGGGTGTGGCCAAAACCCTACCCCCTACTCCCCCCCCAAAAATTGCCAGTCTAGACTGGTGCTGGTTCACAGGTAAAAATCAAAGAAGGTTCGGTTAGAGCACTCATCTTGCAAGCATAAAGAAACCCTGGTACCACATGAGGTGCAATCCTGGCAGCACTGCTGTCTGTGATCCCCAGGTACACCACCATCACAGCTAAAGAGATGTGAAGCACCAGGCAAACACCAGTGAAAGATGTACAATAACCATGGCCAGGAAGTGTGACCTCTGCCTAGCATGTGTACATGAACCCCACAGTGACTGCTGCTGAGCACATGTGCAAGCACCTCAGGTAAAGGAGTGCAACCTTTGGTGAGCACTATGGCCAAATATGTGAGCACTACAACCCAGGTGTGTGATCCCTGGTCATTAGAATATCAATAACAACAAGGAATAGAAAAGAAGGGGGAGGGGAAGAAGTGTACTAGGAGGACCAGAGCCATAAAATGGGTTCGGGGCAGAGCAATAGTACAGTTGGCTTACAATGCAGATACTACAGATAGTAGAGACAGGGTGCTTGCCTCAAACTTGGCCAACCCAAGTTTGGTCCCTGTCATTCCATATGGTCCCCTGAGCCCATCAGGAGTGCTCTCTGAGAGCAGTGCCAGGATAAGTCCTGAGCACTGCTGTGTGTGACCTACCCCCCCCACCCCACCCAAAACAAAACAACCAGGCATTTAAGGTGCTGGCATGCGGCTAACCCTGGTTCAGTCTCTGGCACCACACGGTGCCCTGAGCAACTCTGAATGTGGCCCCAAACCCACTACCTGGAATAAAAGAAGAAAGAAAAGAAGTCTACTGGCAGAGAAACCTCACTGGATTCAACAGTCGTTGCACAACTGTGGGGGACCAGGCATACTTCTGGGATCTAAGAGGATAAATTAGTAAGGTTTAGTGGGCCCTAGATTATAAGAAAGAGAAATCCCGGGAGGAAAAGAAATTGAGCGGGGGAGTAAAAGAGGTAGACAGAAGGTAATAGGAGCCGGAGCCTTGGTTACATCAATGGTATAGAGGTGAGGTGTATATCTAAACCACAGAGCCAACAGTACTGAAAGCATGAGATCCAAATTACAGCAACCAAATTTAAAAATGTTCCTGTCAGGGCCAGTAGTGGGTAAGATGTTTGCCTTGTATACCGCCAATCCAGTTTTGATCTCCAGCATCTCACATGGTCCCCTGAGTACTTCCAGGAGTGCTGTGAACTCGGAGCTAGGGGTAAGTTCTGAACAGCACTGGGTGTGACCCCAAAACCAAAAAAAAAAAAAAAATAATAATTCCCATCAAAGAGGCAGGCTGGCGGGGGAGTGTGTGGAAGGTAACCTGGGACGTTGATGGAGGGATTGGAACATTGTATGCCTGAAACTCTTTTATGAAAAACTTTGTAAATCATGGTACTTTAATTGAAAAAAAAATTAAAGAAAACCAGTGTGGTTGGAAAGCTAGTACAGCCAGTAATGTTCTTGTCTCAAATGCCACCAGCCCCAATCAATCCTCAGCACCACAGGTGGTGATCCCTGAGCACAGAGCCAAGAATAAGCCTTGAACATAGCCCAGTGTGATCCCCCTAAGCCCCAAAAATGAAAGAAAAGAATTTTCTATCTTTGAGGGAGTTCCCAATCTTCAAGAGAAAAATGGGCATTTCCAAGTCACAAATAAACATATCGTTTCATCTTACATGGGAAGGAAAGAAAACAACTTCATCTGTCTGGACAGATAAGGAAAGGCTTCGTGGTATGGAGCTGACTGGACTGTTTGTTTTCCTATCTCACAGGACTAAGTTTCTTATACAATGTCCTGGTGAAAAGTCAAAACTTTGCAGAGATTCCTCTTTGACGAACCTCCTTCTTCAATCCTGGTCATTTCTTATCTGCCACAGAAGTTGCAGTGATTTATTTGTTTGGGGTATCTTGGTGCCATGATACAAACATATATCCATACAGAGGAACAATTGTACTTTTAAATGTGCCTCAAGTCAGCCAAAGAAAGAATGAGTGGAGAAAAAATCTGTTTTGCAACTGCAGGCTCATGAAAGGGGCTGCAATGGCAAGAAACAAAAAAAAGCTGAATTTCTACAGGCAAGATTACAGGGCTGGTGGGGTTGAGACATTAAGCTATGAGGCAGCAAGAGGTTAGCAAAAAACAAAGCCCTGAGGCCTTGGGGGCTAGGTGGAAGTTGGGCCTTTATCCTAAGTACCGCCAGCTCTGTGGTCTGTGGAGAATCTCTTGAAGTCTGTGGGGAAAGCAAGGCATTCACATTCATCGGTTTTTAGAGTGATCCCACAAAAGGTGAATAACCGGTTAGATTCATCTACAGCTGGGAACAGAGAGCCTTGGGTTTACAAGATAAGGTAAGAAAAACAAATGAAAACAACTGAATCTGAGGCGGCTTGCTCCGGGCACCTCAAGTCTGTGTGAGAATAACAGAACCGGATTTGGGGAGGCAGGAAGTGAAGGGGAGGAGAGAAATGTGCTCAAAGGTGGGCGCCAGAATCTTTGTGGCTCTAGAGTCACAGGGTATGTTGTGGGCTCAGGAGAGGGTCTAGAGCACAATGGCAGGCTGTAGAAAGAGTTTACATCTTAAAAGGCTGGAGCCTTTGAGTCCCTCACCTCCCGGGTCTTTTACAAAGGACTTGTTTTCCTGATAGAACAAAACAACTTGAATTGGGCACTAAGTCCTCAGCTTGCCATTTCTGAGCTTTGTGAATTCTGGAGCCTCAGGATGTAAGATTCTTTTGGTATGAGGAAGTGCTTGATCCAGAGGCCAGTCTTTCTATGGGGTGGGGGCAAGCTGCTTGGACAATTGAGCTGACAAGGTGAAGTCAGGAGCAGCTGCTTCAGAGAATAGTCTGGGCATCCTGCAAGGAGGGAAAGAAAGAACATGGGTGTGCCCCACCCTGCTTCATGTGCCTGTGAGCCAGAGTGTAGTCAAGGAAGCAGCCTCCTTCCAGAGGGAGAGGGCAGCAGAAGCAGCCTGCAAGGACACCCCGGGCTTTCCTCAGAGTGAGGAGGGAGAAGGTACAAGGCAGTAAGTTATTGCTAGAGGAGAGGAGTGTGGGGATTTTACAGAGAAAAGCTGGGGAAAGGGAAAGAAGCCTCCCCACTCTGCTCTGCTACTTCATAACCTCCACAAAGTTACTAGGCGATTCCTGAAGCTACAAGTGTGTGACCCAGGCAAGGCTCTGGGGTGGGTTTGTGAGGGAGGAAAGTGCACGGTTACACACAGCTAAGGAGTGGGGAGAGGGCCTGGAGCCATAGTACAGCAGGTGGGGTGCTTGCCTTGCATGTGTCCTATCTGGATTGATCCCTGATACCCCATATGGTCCCGGAGCCCTCCAGGGGAATCCTGGAGTGTAGAGCCAGGAGTAAGCCCAGAGGAGCACCAGCACCGTGGGGTGTGGCCCAAGGAAACAAAAAAGAACAATTGCCTGAGACATAGTATTGGGAGTCAGGTGCTTGCCTTGAATACCTGATGCAGTCAAAAGTAGCCCAAGATCAAAAGCCCAGGATTTGCTCCTGGGGGGAGGGGGCAAATTAGAGAAACCTTGTCCATGCTCTAATGAAGTTCACAGTCCAATAGAAAAGACCACCATTGTCCTGAAGATGAGTTGGATTTCCATAAAGCAGCAATGCCATCAGGGGATGAAAAGAGGAGGGCACAGGGAGCAATTGGAAAACAAATCAGTTTTTAAAAAGACAGACAGGATGTAAGCTAGAATCTCTATCTCCCCTCCCTTTTCCTCCCCTCCCGTCTGCAATAAATTTCCCGGAGAATTCTGCTGATGTTTTTTTTTCTGTTCATTCAAGTTTATTATTTGTGTATCACTGTCACTGTCCTCCCACTGTTCATCGATTTTGCTCGAGCGGGCCCAGTAACGTTGTGTATAGGAATGACATGGATTTTTGTGTACTAATT